GCTGTGAGCAAACAGAGTATGAGAGCATCAACGAGGTGAGTTTGAGGAACCTTTTTAACGTTTTTGTTAAAAAACTGAAAGCAAACACAAACTGCTTCCTCTTTTTCTGCATCAGGATGACAGAGGGAACCAACAGAAAACTCCTCCAGTGCAGATCTCCACTATTTACAGCTGCACCTTATTCACAAACCTGCCAGGAGCTGATGACTACAGCCTGCTTTCAGCCCACAGCGCTCAGCCAGAAGTAAGAAAACGGAGCAGAACCAGCTCTGATTGGAGTTCCGCCAGTTATTCATCTCCAGCAAAGGCCTGATGCGCCAGCTGTGGGCTGGAAGCAAGATGCTGTCAGGCCTCTGACAAGGTTCACATCTGTTCAGTGTGTGTGGAAGTCAGTTGGTCTGCATGCACATCTGTTCAGTGTGTGTGGAAGTCAGTGGGTCTGCATGCACATCTGTTCAGTGTGTGTGGAAGTCAGTGGGTCTGCATGCACATCTGTTCACAGTGTGGAAGTCAGTGGATTTGCATGCACATCTGTTCAGTGTGTGTGGAAGTCAGTGGGTCTGCATGCACATCTGTTCAAAGTGGGTCTGCATGCACATCTGTTCCAGATGAATCTATACTGTTATACATATAGAGCCTTATAGAAATTGTGTTTATTGACTGCTGATTGGAATCATTTAGTTATGAGGAATGTATATTGTTTATTTTATTAATAGGCATTTGGTTTTATTTTGTATTGTTTTCTAGATCTGGTATTTTGATTAATCTCTTAATGAAGCTCGTTTAATGTCTTGTGTTACATCTGTTAGAGTGCGCATGCACAGAGTATGTAAGAAAGGTAATGGAGCAGGGCGAGGAGCAACACTTTTTTTACAGTAAGGTTCAAGTTTTGGTTCATAATCACTTTAAAGTTGGTTTATGCTGGCAATTTATTGTAAATTCTAAGTTCGTAATAAACTGAAGTGATTTTTTATATCGGTTCGCGTAAGTTTTTAAACCACCAGGAAAACCAGGAAAAGGTTTCATTTTTGAAGAAAAGGTATTTAGCCACTACATAGGTAAAAAAACTGCTCCTGAACGAGAGGATTTCTCGAATAAAATGCAGCGCAAGGGATTAAGTGGATGCTCGCGGTGTCAGAACAGGAGCCATGCACAAGTGAAAAGCTAGCCTCGGCCGGATCATAAAGACGCGTGTCGGACCAGACGCTCGGCGTCACATGAAGTAAGAACGTGTAAAAGTTACGATATCGAAAAATAAGAGATCCTTTGGATTTTTGACAGCGACTTTCGTCTGTCAAATTGCGTTAAGAGTTTGTGGTACACAATTAGCATGGAGCTATCAAGAGAGGCAAAATGGGAGTCAAGGCCTACTCTTAAAGCGCTGAGGGACAAGCTTAACCAGCTTAAAAGCACAAGGAAAGCTAAATTAGGCTGTCTTACCAAAAAGATAAAGGAAATTGAAAATTTAATGGAAGATGATGGTAATGCCGATGAGGTCGCTGCTAAAATAAAGTCTGACATCTTAAGTGTGTCTTCAACTGCATCCTCTGCGAGACCCAAGGTTGAAGCTCAAAAGGCAGCTCTTTTAGCACGTACTGATGCGTTGAAATTAAAACAAGAACATGAATAAGAAGAGGCAGTGTTTTGGGCAAGAAAAGAGGAGCTGGAATTGAAAACAGCTATTTCCATGGCTGATGCAAAGCTTGAGGTGTCAACTGTAAGGGAGCAAGCTAACAGTGTTCGTGGAGAAACTGTGGATGGAATGGCTGTTTACATAAATACTGCTGCAAGCCAAGGTAGTGAGGGCAGCTTCAGATCTGGGCAGTCAAATACCAGAGACTTCTATGACCGCTCAAGGCCAGACGTCATACAAAATGTTGCAGCTCAAAGGAGTTCAAACAGCATGAGCAGACTCTCTCAGCCATGGACAACCCAGTACAGGACAAAACAGGGTTGCTGATATTGGAGACTTGCTGAGTGTCATGAAACATCAAAACAAAATCACTGAGCTTCTAGTAAAGCAACAGAAGGTGTCTACAGTCATGGCCAAAAGTTTTGAGAATGATTCAAATGATAATATTTACAAAGTCTACTGCTTCAGTTTTTATAACAGCAATTTGTACTCCAGAATGTTAAAAAGAGTGTTCAGCATAACAGCAATTAATTGCAAAGTCAATATTTGCCTAGAAAATTAACTTTATCCCCCAAAACACATTTCAACGTCATTGTTGCCAAAAAGGCTCCAGGGCGCCCAAGAAAGACCAGCAAGCGCCAGGACCGTCTCTTAAAAGTGTTTCAGCTGTGGGATCGGGCTACCAGCAGTGCGGAGCTAGCTCAGGAATGGCAGCAGGCAGGTGTGAGTGCATCTGCACGCACTGTGAGGCGGAGACTCCTGGAGCAAGGCCTGGTCTCAAGGAGCGCAGCAAAAAAGCCACTTCTCTCCAGGAAAAACATCAGGGACAGACTGATATTCTGCAAAAGGTACAGGGAGTGGACTGCTGAGGACTGGGGTAAAGTCATTTTCTCTGATGAACCCCCTTTCCCATTGTTTGGGACATCTGGAAAACGGCTTGTTCGGAGAAGACGAGGTGAGCGCTACCACCAGTCTTGTCTCATGCCAACTGTAAAGCATCCTGAAACCATTCATGTGTGGGGTTGCCTCTCAGCCAGGGGAGTCGGCTCTCTCACAGTCTTACCTAAAAACACAGCCATGAATAAAGAATGGTACCAGAATGTCCTCCGAGAGCAACTTCTCCCACCCGTCCAAATGCAGTTTGGTGATTAACAATGCCTTTTCCAGCATGATGGAGCACCTTGCCATAAAGCAAAGGTGATATCTAACTGGCTCAGGGAACAAAACATGGAGATTTTGGGTCCATGGCCTGGAAACTCCCCATATCTTAATCCCATTGAAAACTTGTGGTCAATCATCAAGAGACGGGTGGAAAAACAAAAACCTAGGAATTCTGACAAAATTCAAGCATTGATTGTATTCCTGTATGTGATGACAACATCTGACATACACACATGAAAACCATAGGGCAGCAGATCATGTGAAAATATAATATTTGTGCCATTCTCAATACGTTTGGCCATGACTGTACACTACACTACACTACACTGCACTGCACCACATATTCCTGTGAGCATCTGGACGTTCGAGGTAAGCTTCCAGGTATTCCAGCAGCAACAATGCCAAGAAAGGGTAAGCGTTCCCAGGCCCACAAGCTCCGGTGGCAGAAGGCCAGAGAGTCTCAAGGTGAGCAGGCTGAAGGTACCGGCCCTCTAATTGGCACCGTGTCTCAGCAGGTACCCGGTGCAGACGCTGTACAATCAGGACAGCCCAGAGACGGTTTGTGTGTTGGTGGACAGCAGCACAACGGCACAGGTCAGAGCACTTTGTCCAGCCAGGCAGCCCCTTCTGATGGAAGCCCTGTCACACAAGATACACAGCAGGTAAGGAAGAGAGTCCCAAAGGTGTCTTATGCTGACATGCTGAAGAGAGGCAGTGATGCAGCCGCACCTTCTCGGCAGCACACGGCGAGTGTAGAGCCTCAGCCATCGGTGACACACGTGTGCGCTTCCCGTAGCCAGGCTTCTTTGAAGTATGGTGAGTACAGGAACAGTCAGTGTGTGGCCAACTGTTTGGTGTTCCTGGCCTTTTTTCATGAGAGCGAGAGGATTAGCAGACCAGAGCTTGACTTGGTTCTGGACAAAGGTAATGCCGTATACAGAAGGGCCAGACAGCGCTTTCCTAAAAGCCTCCATTTGGCAGTGGATGAACTCCCAGCTGAAGTTAATGCGTGCACAAGTAGGTATTGGGTGGACTTCAGTCAGGCAGCTCAATATGGCACATTTGGAGGTGGAGAGAGACTTCCCGGCCTGGAGCAAGGACTGAGCCGTTTGTCATCAGATGTACGCTTCGGGCTGTTGATCATGGCTGGGTCATGTGTTGCTGTCTTCAGAGGCAAGTCTGGTCAGTACGGATACTTCGACCCACACGCCAGGACCAAAAATGGAATGCCAGTTTCCTCTGGTCTGTTCAACTTTGGTACTGCTGTGATGCTGAAATTCACCCATCT